CCTTCCCGATGCGCCGCTCCGCGAGGATGGAGATGTGAGCATTCTAGCCCACAACTTCTACTGGGTTATCGATACCACATTCCATGATATGCTCTGGGCCCGAATCTCCTCTTACGTACCGCCCTCAATCAACGGTCGCCTTGTTCGCGGTATTAATCGACGATTCCGTGTATACCGATACGTTCCCGGTGCCGAATACCGTTGTCACATCGACGGTGCCTGGCCTCCGTCAGGTATCCTGCCTGATGACACGTACGTCTACGATTCCTCGCCCGAGGACAAGAGGCAAAGCTCCATGTACACCTTTTTGCTTTATCTCAATGATGAGTTTGAGGGTGGCGAGACTACTTTCTTCCTACCGGCAGCCCGGGAGGGAACTTTGAATGCCTACCCAGTCCGACCCGTCATGGGATCCGTCGCTATTTTCCCGCATGGAGAGGCAAATGGTGCCCTTCTCCATGAGGGTACCGGGGTGAGGAAGGGTGCTAAATATATTATTAGGACGGATGTCGAGTACGACGTGAAGCCTTCCGAAGAGTGATAATGACAACTTGAATATAAATAATAAAATACAATTTTCAAATTGGACGATACACGACTGGGAAAACTTTCGGTTTGTCTATGGATGATTTAAATCTGGAATGACTAGAAATTGGCGCTCGTTTTCCATTGCAAGAATGAACATTTAGGTACGAGCCGATCGGCCTCGAGGCCTCGGCCTTCATGGGAACAATGGACTCGGGCTTTACTACACACAAGTGAACGATGAAGCGGCATTTGGGTCGCCTCCCTTGTAGGTGAAAACCTGGGGGTATGGGCACAGATAGCCTGTGCGCTTCGCAGTGGCGTCCGAAGTTCCCACGGCAGAAGCCACAGCCTCCAGACGATCAGGCAGAGTGCCGTTCTCGACCCAAGCCCGCATAGCGCCGAAGACAGTCTGGCTGGGATCGAATCCAATGCCGTAGCCGCAGTGGGTGACTCCAGGTGCCAGGAAGAAACGGTAGTAGTCTGAAACATGGGGATCGAATGCGGTGGCGCGTGTATAGTAGTCCACTGTTCCGTTCGTTGGGACCAGTTGATCGGCCATACCATGCCATGCGAGGAGCTTAGTACCGACATGCTTCATCTTGGAGAGGTCTGGGCTTGAAGTTCCAATAACAGATGAATATTGCTCGATTGATTGGCGGAAAAGACGGTCGTAATCATCGCGGTTAAGACCATCGGGAGTGAAGGAAGGATCCCTGGCCAAGAAAACTTTGACCCAGTCGTCGGAGATAGGGAATGGAATCACCGTGCAGTTGTCGACAGATGTGCAAGTTGTTCCCAGCATCGAGGTCAGGCTGGAGTCGTAGTGGAAGCCATACCACTCGAAGCGACCATCTTTGGATCGAGGTCCCTCCCAGATGGCCTCAACGAGCTTGGCCATCTTCTTTGTGATTGTGATTTCACTGGCAGGCTCAACGCAGTTAACCTTTTGGCCGATGAGAGATGAGGCTTTGAAGTGACACTGTCCCGGCAAGGCGATGATGCCATCTTTGACGCCATCAAGTTCGTCGCATGCCTCGGTGGCCGCAGTCGTAAATGCATCAAGAACACAGGTTGGTGGACGGGTATCTGCGTGGTAGCACATCCTTTAGTAAAGTCCATTCGAATGAAACCAAAACCAGCTTGAACTTACCGAGCAGTTGAGCCATGAAGGGAGCCCACCAGCCAGCAGGAGCGAATTTGTCCCAGCTCACTGCCGGGGCACCACCGACGATTCCATCAAAAAGCTCGGGGTATTCTTGCGCCATCGCATGTCCCTGTCTTCCACCAGTCGAGCAGCCATGCCAGTATGAGTAGTTCGGCTCCCTTCCGTAGTAGATCTTGGTGGCTAATTTTCCAAGCTTAGCAGCTTCGGCAATAGCAACACTGGAAAAGTCAATCAGGGCCGGCCAATTGGTCTTTCCATGCTTGGTGAGGCCCCATTCCGCAGTCAAGGCATTATTATCGTGTCCTCCGTCCGTTGAGGATGTTGCGTATCCCTCCAAGAGTGGCGAAAGAATTGTACTCTCGCCGCCGGCGAACCAGCCACCACCACCATCCATGACAAAACGGGAGTTCCAATCCTTTCGATTGAAAGGAAGACCGATATAAGCGTTCACTTCGTCATGTTCGCCAGGGTGAGTGTACGTCACTTGGATCAAGCAGACATCCACCGTGGGTGCTGGAGTACCCGGAATGTCAGGTATAATGCCTACACCTCCAGTAGCATTGCGGCCGCTAGTCGAAAGGTCATGCGCGGTAGTGACATTGAGAGATGTGATGTGAATGCCTTTTAAGTTGAGGGAAGCGAAATTTCTGGCAGTGCAAGGTTGGTTGCGAGATGATACAACGCCGGTCGCGAGGGTGAACAGTGTTGTAATCACGGCTGTCTTTCGGAACATCATGATGAACCACTATTTTAGGTTCTCGCCCTATTCAATCGCGCAGAAATAGGTAAGCTAGAATATAGAAAATGAGTTATCTTCGGCGAGAAAGGTCTACTTTATACACGCACAGACGACTATCCTCCATGGTTGAAAAAGCAGGACCCTGAACATGAAGGCAATGTAAAATGCACAAATGTCAGCACTGCCTTGGGAACCGCTGGAAATTGGAGAAGTAGACATTCCTGACACGGATATCTAACAGGCACACTACACTCAAACGAGTGTTTGCGAAGATCTATTTGGAAAGTATTCCATGCAGAATTTCTGGGAAATCACCGAATATGAACCGCCAGCGAATCAGCAGATTGAAATGTCGTCGTTCTCTCGGTTATTGAGGCTTAGATCGCGTGTTTGTGCGGGGCTTGGCATCTTAGTACACATGCCCAATTTGGGGTATCACGTCAGCGCGCGTTGGAGAGTACCGATCGTTTAATCAGAAAGTTAATCTAGATAGGTCGATTAGAAGCTTGACCTGTCACTATTTCCCAATCCAATACTATTTACGCAATTTTTCTGGTGATCGATGATGAGGAGTGAACCAAATATATCGAAGTCCAAATACTTTCACATACCAGAGGTTGCAAGACAGAACTTAGAGATGAACATGTATCTTTGATTTTCTTCCTTTTTTCGTTCTTGCTGAGAAATAAAATATCAAAGGTGGAGCAGAAACGCCGATTGTCTATTTTAATTTAGCTTGACTTGAATTCATCAATATGAGCTCTTCTGGGCAAAGGAACTTGAACACTGTACGTGTATCTATAGCTACTTGGTGCTAGCCTTTCCATTCTATAGAGCGAAAGAGATCAAGATGTGGCATACTTTGAAGTAAGCAAAACCGGTAGAATATCTCACGGCTAATTGTCTTGTTACATCATCTGTGATAGTATCATTTACAGATGCATCACGGAATATTTTGTCCAGTCACAAATCGCAAGCACGTGGGCACTACTCGATCACTGTAACACTTTCCAATCGACAACCTCGCCAGAAAATAAACGGAAATCGTCACAGCCCTTCCTCAGGCAGAGCCCGGTGATGCTCAGAGTTTGCGTTTTTCGAACAGATAAGAAAATGAGAGAGTTCTAATGAGCCCATTAGATCATCTTCGATGTAGACGTGCTCTTGACGCTGCTATATCCCAGGAGTTGTCGATTGAGAACCACGACCTTCACGATATGCAGGACAGGAAAACCGAAGATGAACCCGATGGAATAGGAGCCGTTTATGAAGGCGTAAGTATATCTTCTATTTATGATATTTCCTAACTTGGAGACTGGAAAGTACAGTGCTAAATATACTAATCAGTACTGTTCGGCGGGCACTGGTACCCAAAGATGCGATTACCTTCACAATAGAGCGATGCACTGGGTAAAATGTGCGCCCAACCACCGAGTAAGTGAACTGCCCCTATGATTGAAATACACCTTAACAAGAACATAATAGTGCACTCGGACTGGAAATCACTGTGCCTACTCTGAGAGTGATCAAAGTGCTGTTTGTAGCTAGGTCAGAATTTGATGTACTGCTCTCCAGGGCCGTTCAGTTGAAGAAAATCAACTTGAATTCTATAGATTATTTCCAAGGTTCTTTATATGAATTATAGATAAGTTATGACCACTAATCATTAAGGAGCTAGTAGATTAATATAGCAAATTAAAAAGACATTACTCAGAAGTAGACTGCGGCGTACACGCGGGGCGCGAGGATAACGATCACCCGCACCGCAATTTAGGGGTACAGGTAGGCCATTTTATTCCACAGCACTATGACGACGTATAAGGAAATAGAGAAGCTAAACTAGTACTAGTACTGCGACTACTACCCATGGGAAAGGCCTTCAAAAATTGTGGGGTCCGCAAACCTTAGATGAGCACTTTCTAACGTGTCGATGGTCGAGTCTTGAGCCTGTGTAACAGATTATTGGAGAAGATTAAGTGGAAGTGAAAAACAGCGAGGAAATGAGGGAACGCATGAGTAAGGTAGCGGGTTACTAATAGTAAAAAGTAGAAGGGGAGCTTGGAAAAGTGGAAGATTGAAGCAGAAAATGCCCCAGCCTTTTCACTGATTAAGGTGGAGATAATCACAGGCCCGATGAAAGAGTGTGTATTGGAGGTTCCGGATTCCGGGTTGCTGGCTTGGGGTTGCCTTTGAGGCTGAAAGGTTGTTGAAAGACGATTTTGAAAGACACTATAGCTCAGAGGAAAATAATTGATGTATATTTTAGTGGAAATAAGTGGGGCTATACCTAGGTATATACAAAACGAACTCCAAATTGGAGGTTTCCAATCAACATGGTTCGTTGTCCAAATACCTCGGAAATTATTTCCGATCGTGCGGCTCTGATCACGATCTGCAACAGCCTCATATCACAACTGCTCTGCATTAGAGCCTAGCCGAGAAGGTCTGCGGGTTCTTACTTCTGTGAGCCTGCGCTGCTGAGGCGCGACCAGCCCGACGGTCAAATACGGCGCCGGATGTAAGGCCACTGCCTCCAGGGTATTTTTCGTAAAAGAGACCACCAACCATTTAACCAGCGCAGTACAAGCCAGGCACGGCAGAGTTGGTGGCTGATGATATGACACCCGCAGTCTGATGGTCAACAGCTAACCCGCCAAGTGTGAAAGTCACGCCACAGGTCGCCTTGATAGCCATATAGGGGCCCTTTGTTAGAGGCGTAGCCCAATTAGACTTGGGTAATGCGAGTTGCTTGAGGCTCGACTGCGTGGACAGACCGTCCTTGACAGCCGGGTCCCACTTATGGCCAGGGTTCTCTTCTTAAAAAAAACGCCACAGCCCTGTTGTACTACTTGATTGTCTCCACGAACTTGCTCGGATCTTTCAGGCCACATTCGGCACACCTATCGGCCAGCTCCTCTAAAGTAGAGGCTGTAATATTCTCCACGATGCTATAGCGGTACTCCTCATCCCGCAGCCAGGGAGTCATCTGGGCATCCCAAACCTGAAAGGCAGCATGGCCGGGTTGTGCCAGAATTGCATTGCCGAAAATCGCATACGTGTAGTTGCGAAGGTCAACACCTTGAATCCACAAAGCGCTTTCCTTCAAGATTAAGCATCAACCCGAGGGGGTAACCCGACTTGGTAAATTCGTTTGAGATGATACGATCACCTGAATTAGGGGGAGCATTGGCGTCCCACGCAACAGAGTGGCAGCCAGACCAGTTACCGGCTTGTTTGGCCGAAACATCTCGTATAGCCATTTCTAGACATGAGCAAATATTGTAGGGGGTGCCGCGTACTTCAGCAAAATCCCAGTTTGGTTCGAGGAACTGCGATCGCATTCGGGGATTGACCTCAAAGCCTCCGGCCGCCAGAACCACAGCTCCAGCCAGAATATGCCGTTCACCAGTGGTATCTTCCACGATGACAGAGCGGACAGCCTTGGTAGCAGTATCTACCACAAGACATTTGGCTGCGGTTGAGAACAAGACCTTGACTCCTAGCCTCTTGGCTGCTCGACGGGGATCATCGATCAATCCCTTTCCGCCGTCCTGCGTCTTGAGGCACATGTCATCCCAGAATTTGAACCGCCCGTCGATTTTGTATGCCTGACGATTGAATGAAAGCTGGAATCTTACTCCATGCCCCGCTAACCATTTGAGCGCCGCATTAGAGTCGTTCACAAGAGCACAAGAGAGGTCCGGATCAGATCGACCCACACAGATACGGGAGATATCGTCTGCGAAATTGGCAGCCGAGTAAGGTTCTATGTCAATTATGGATGCGGTAGCCTCGTCGACGTTGTTCACGATCGGCAAGACGTCTGCTAATCCATAGTAGACCGTCCTGAAAGCGCCAGCGGTGAAGTAGGTGTTCCCGCCGGCCCAGGCAAGAGTCAATTATGAGGACGCGACGATCGCCCGACTCTGCGGCGGAATGGCAGAGCTGAATCCTGCATTTCCACCTCCAATAACAAGAACGTCAACCTCATTCAAAACTGGCTTCATGACAGGTAGAGATTCTGAAATGCTCTTTATGGAGACTGAGACTTGGATTAAGTGCTGGCAGGCAACTTGAGTATCCGTTGGTGCGGGTGGTGGGTGACGACGGCCCAGTAAGAGGAGATACAGCTTTGTCTAGATATGAGGAGAATGGGGGTCCCCAATCGCAGACAAGCGTTATTATCGTCTGGCGTAATCCTTAGGGTTTATCGGGGTGGGAGATTATGGGACCTATTACCTATTGCCCGTTCTTGGTGTTGGGTAATTCAGAGTTGTCATGACCTGGCCTACTCGACAAATCAACGGTGGGCGAAACGGCATGAAAGACCGCTTTAATATATCATATGTTGTTATTATTAAAAAATGCTTCAATTAGACGTACTATTAGTATTATTTAGAGCAACTCTCATCGCCGCAGCCCATGAAAATTAGCTTGCGCGTCATGCTATGAATATAATCAAAGACCAAATTTCAGCTTTTCTCGGCAACATCGAACGTGATTTCATATTCAGCCTGTCTCACATGGGTGAGTATTGCCCCGCAGGATGACCGCATACAACTTGAAGCCACAAAGACAGTCGACGGTCGCCCAGTACGAGATTACTCTGTGTAATGCTCTACCTTCCTCTGAATTTACTCTCCATTCCCTACCACATTTAAATTTGCAGATGAGGACATTATCTCCATCACGATGTTAAGCAATATAAAGCATTTCGGAATTATGACATTCAGGATATAGTCTTTTATTTGAACAGAATATATATCTTTCGCTAGCGAAATGTATCCTCGAATCACATCAGGGCAAGAAATTGCTCTCCTTGCCTGAAGCCCATAAACCAACTTGAAACTCATAATTCATGGTGAGCATATTAAAGCTCGCAGGCACTCTGATCATGCTGAATCATTTGTCTACGGGTACCTCCGAAATTGCAAAAAGACCCAGACCCGCCTGTCAGCCGCCGAGGAAATCGGTCTGCAGCTTGTCAGCCGGCGGCTTCTTGGCATCTTGATCATTTGTAGTTTAATCGACAACTCGAAATGACACGCGACAAATGACACGCGACAGGGAGAACATATGAAAAGATTAATCGATATTAGACAATTTTCTTGTTTCAGGAACTGTCAATAGCTTCACATATTTTTCAGAAAGTAGAAACGAGTCAGGTTTCTCGAGATTGGCTGAACGCGGATTCCCGAGGAGCTTGTAAATCGAAGCCAGCCGCCAAGATTTCAATGTCATGCAATTCTAAGCTTAGTTTAACGATCGTCCCAAACAATGCTCTGAAATCGTCGCTTGGCATGTTCTTCAAGAATTATTGCAGTTGTCCAGCGCTGCAGTCGCCCAGCCTAGGGAAACATATTGCAGTTGAATACGATGAGTCTGGATGGAGAGTAACTTGAACCCCGAGGTCGGCGACCAGGTCTCCTCGCCAATAAAGGACAAAACGAAGGCACAGTCATCTCGAAATGCAACTCCACATCGTTTCATGCCTTTCTAGAAGGCTTCGTCGGGCGGGCTACTATCATTATATACATCTTGGCAAATGCAGCCATACTAGCTGACTACTTCGTCGGGCACAAGCTGAGGACGAGGATCGGAAGCACAAGTCCAATTTGAAGCACGAATACAGAATTTTCAATCAATCTCTTGGTGTATAAATACCTACCATCCACTGCGTCTTGTTTCTCTATCAACAACGAGCTCATTACTCTTCTATCAAGTCCAGCAATTACTTTCAAGAAATCTACATTCTTCAAAATGTCTGAAAGCGAAGTGTCCACCTCGTCTACCAGCTTCGTCAACGGAGCCACCTATTCCATCAAGGTATCAGGATCCGGTGCTTTGAGCGTCGTTCCCGGTAAATACAACGATCATGAAGTCCACATGCGAATCTGGGAAAAGGCCCGCAATCAGCTTTGGCGCGCAGAAGCCAATAATGATGGATTTGGATTTCGCAACGCTAGTACCGGCAAGCTCTTGGGCGTGAACAAGAACGGGGATATTTCTTGTGATGCAAGTGACCTGAATAGTTGGGAGAGATTCAAGTTCGAGGGTGCCGGCTCGGGCTCGCTCTTCTCTCTCATCTACAATGGTTCTCAGCAGTATCTTTACCAGCCTGGTCAGTGGGACTCGCTTCAGGTTACTGAGCACAGATCGCTTGCTGCTAATATCACCGTTACGCGGGAATAATGTGAGTTTGATGACTGAAGTACGATCGAAGATATGGCGATTGATAATCTTCTTCAGGGCATTCCCATCTCATCGAAGTTGTTGGCCATTCCAACGCATTAGCTGGCATGTTTGATAAACGACTTGAATGTGGTGCAATTCTCATTGCGGTCCGAGTCTCACTATGACAACCGCAAACACCACCTGATTCTCCGGTGTCGAATGTTCAAAGCCTATGATATGATCTCTGATCCTGATAGAGTCTTGTATTTAAGATGTCTTTGCGAGTAATCGAAGTCGAGAAATTTATAATTGTCCGAAAAATGTTGTATTGTAACCCGATTCAAAGCTAGAGCTGGAAAACAAAAAAAAAGTTGGTTTATCGAGAGGATTTCACGGGAGACGACTGTCGTCAGGGGCCCTGGAAAGACACTCCGACGCAAATATGCATGAAGGGTATTTGAAAATCGCAAGTAATTTGAATCGATGTCGCACGCCCAAACTCTGGGCAACATTTCTCGACGGTCTCGGGCTGTCGTTTCTGACCAGGCGGCTTTACTCAGCAGTACAAGATGACGCGGAGGGCGCAGAAAACCGAAGAAGACCCGCCATATATTCCCCAATTACTTGACCCATTAGGTCATATCCACTTGGAGTAAGATGAAGTCCATCATCGAAAATCCTGTTCTGGAACTCCTTCGAAGCGGAATGGTAGGGAATTGCAGCGTGAAGGTCGAAGGCAAAACTCAACGAAAGTTAGCATGGGATTCGCACATTGTTAAGTCAGGTGTCGGCTCACAATCCATCTTCCTGGTGGGCAAGTATCAAGCGGTTGACCTCATTACGTTTCTTATCTATGCATGCAAATTTCGCCGCACACTCAGGGATAGTCAAAGCAAGTACCTTTGCACCCGAGGTTAGCGCCATCATCCAAGACTTTTTCAGACCAGCATAAATATCCTCAGATGATTTGCCATAGCCAATATCGCTGTCGGTGGGTTTGGCATCAGTAATCACGTGACTTTGGCACTGGAGAAATAGACAAAGACGTACTTTGTCCCACCGAGGAAGATGACCCAGTCATAACGCTTTTTGATCGTCTGTTCTGATATACGGGAGACGAACGAGCCCGGGGAACAAACTAGATCGCCTGGAAGACCGGCCACATCTGTTGTGATCTCCGTGGTAGGAAGCACTGGCTGGAGGATTTCTTTGAGCTTTTCGGCGTATGGGTGGTAATGTTCGCCATAATTGTAGTAGCCAGCAGTGAGGGAGTTGCCGAAGCACAATATTGAGAGTTTTTCGGCCATTTTAGATGCAAATGAAACAAGCGAGTGTTGGGAGTTTGGAGTAGAGAGAACAATGCGTGGAGTGGAGTGAGAGATGGGAGGGGCAGCGTAATCTCCGCCGTGACTGCAGAGCCGCACCATTAATATATCGGTGCCTTAGTGCCTTGCTGCCTTGGTAAACATGGCAAGCTAGTGTAAGAGCCGAGTTCTGATTTATCACTGGAACCTAGGAAGCTATCTAAACCTTGGAACATCGAGATTCTCGATTAACTCGGTTGCAAGATAGTTTCACCCTAGTAAGCCTTGCTATAAACCTGCATACCCTGCCCCTTTTCCCATTTTCGGCCCAACTCTACACCATAGATCCGGCCCGGAGCATGATCGCCACTTTCTAAACGTTTGGAGTGATTGGATCACCCTTGGAGCGAATTAAGGTGAGCCATGATAATCCCCATCGGTCCACATCCGCAGTACGAAAAACCACCTCATGCATCAGGGTTGTCCTACGGTTGGGTTGCGTACACTTGGAGCATCCGAAGAATTTCCCAAAGTCATTAAGCGACGCTGGTCGGACAGAGGCCTTGTCCTAAACCCGAGGGTGCGAATTATTGTACACAACTCCGCGACGATCATTGCCCTCGGCCTTTCGCCAACTTCCGAACAACCCCAGACTCCGAAGACAAGGGTGAAATGTTATACATGAATGTTCCATGGGTCCCTATTCGTTGCTTCTAATTTCTCTAAGAGTCTCGGGGTTGAATACATCATGATCGACTTATATTTTTCCCTTGAATACTAGTATTGTTCAAGTTGAACTTGAACTTGAATCGCCCTGCCAGCGGAGTTAATATGTGGTATTGTAGTACAAGTATTATATATTTCATGGTGGTGTAGGTCCGAGATTAAAGTATTCACTGCCTAGGTGAGCTGTGCCCAGTTTGAGTCATACCTAGATCAATATGTAGCTTGAGTTATAAAGTTACCAACTATGAGGTCAAAGAGGTATTCCTATTCAAGATTTTTACTCAGGATCGCGTCGGTTATAGGAGTGTCAGTCACCGACATGCAGGGTTGCACTGCAGACCCCGCACGACACTATGATTTTTGATAGTATAAATAACCAACCCTTGGACTCACAAAATTCAAGCTTCAGCTATTGAAGTGTTGAAAAAGCAATGATATCGTTTGAAATGTTGCAACAAATTAATGTCGAATTTTTTGTCTGCAATGTTTTAGCCTTTGTGCTATACTTGACAGGAATACTATTCCTTGTAAGTTCTCTACACCCCGTGCAACACATTTAGCGCTAGGATTAATATTTTATTATCTAGAGATTTGTATACAAAGTTTTGAGTAATCCTCTTAACAGGCTTCCGGGGCCTATATCTTCCAAGTGTACCAATTTGATTCACGACTATTACTCGCTAAAGGGCCAACTTCCTTACTATGTCCATTCTTTGCATGAAAAATATGGTAATCAGAACGCGAAACAAGCCCTGGAGCCAACCCGAAGAGCTTTCTTTGCTGACCGTTGATTGACAGGCCCTATCGTACGAATCAGCCAGACTCAAGTTGATATCTGTGACGCGTATGCAGTGAGAGAGATCCACAAGACGCACACCAAATTCTACAAGACAGTGTTTTACCGCCAGCTCGTTTCGGTGAACGTTGACACAATGTTCAGCACCCCTGACCCACATCTCCACGGTTCTCGTCGTCGACTGCTTGCGTCCCCAATTTCTGACTCGGCACTATCCCATCTCTTGCCGCAGATTTCCAATCGAATTGAGTATGCAATTCAACGCATCTCAGAGGAGATGATAAGCCGGGGTGCCGCGGATGTTTTTAAATGGTGGTTGTTCATGGCGACCGATATCATTGGAGAGTTGACCTTTGGAGATTCATTTAAAATGCTCGAGGCAGGTAATGTAAGTTGTTCTTCTCGAGCCAAAGGCTTCATCTCGAGCAATGTTGACTTTTTAGCCGACTCAATATTCCAAAGATTTGGAGATGATCGCTTGTCTTCAACCCATTCGAACAACCTTTCCATCCTCGTCAGACTTGGGGCTTACCTACCACTTCCTATCTTCAGAAAGACGGCAGCAGCCGGCAAGCGAATCGGACTATACGCACAGCAGTCAATTCAACGATATAAAAAACACCTTGAGGAGAATCCGGAGAATCCTAAGCCAACATTGTTTACAAAGATCTTTGACATTGGGAAGAGTGGCCTCAGCGAGTCCGAGATACGAAGTGAGGCGCAGGGCTATATTGTTGCCGGTAGCGATACCACGGCTGTTACTTTGACCTATCTCATTTATTCCGTCTGCAAGGACCATCAGGTAAGAACAAAACTTTTGGAAGAGCTGTCTACTTTAAATGAGCCAGTAACAGACAAGGATCTTCGCAATCTGTCTTATCTGGATAATATCATTACCGAAACACTACGTCTACATACTGCTGTACCTTTTGGATTGCCTCGAGCTGTGCCGCCAGAGGGTGCACACTTCAATGGTTATTTCCTTCCTGGCGGTGTGACGGTATCCACACAGTCATTTAGCCTCCATCGTGACCCGGCCATCTTTCCAGAACCAGGGAGGTAAGGCAGTTGCACCACTACCCGGATTTGCGATTGAAATCGCTGATGATAAAACAGATTCAAACCGGAACGATGGCAAAATACGAGCAAGGAAATGAAAGACATATCAATCCCATTTGGGGGCGGATCACGGAGTGGGTTTTCATGTGACTTTAGCTTAATATCTTAAAAGAGATATTGCTAACTTGATGTTCAACAGTCTGCATCGGAATGCATCTTGCCCGTATCGAGCTTCGTCTCGCTACTGCTTTGTTCTTTCGTCGATTTCCAAAGGCTCGCGTGTCTGAAAAAGAAGGAATGAGTGATGAGGATATGCATATGAAGTGCTTTTTCCTAATGGCTCCAGAGGGCCACCGGTGTCTGATTGAGGTGTAATGAGGATGTACAATACTTAAGTCCGGATTCATCGCATGGTTTCACCGACGAAGGAATGCAATCAGCTTGAACCTAAATCTTAGTTTAGAGGAAGGAAACCCAATGTAACCGATTAATTTCAAAGATACCTAGAAAAAGCTGAAGTTGCCGACTTCTGATGTTGCTCTGCAAGTTGATCGCGCCAATCGTCTCCATTTTCACCACCAATCATTACATCTAGCTCTCTCAATATTTCATTACTGACATCCGTCCATGAACCGAATTCCGCCTGGCCTTCGATCTGCGATAAAGGTGTGATGTCAAATCGATGACCCGCCCATCTACCTCGAGCAACATTATCACATCGACCGATCTTCTCAGCGGCATCCGACCACGAAATCCGTGAAACCAAAATTTCCGCAAAGCCTAAAACGTCAATCTGAGGTCCATGCATGAACTCGCACCTGAGCGCAATTGCTTCTCCTCTCACAAACTCCTTTGTAGTGAGGTTGCGTAGAATCCATGTCTGGTCGCGAGGGTAAAATTCGAGAATCTCGGGCTTCAGTCCCATCATGATCTCGACACGGTCAACCTCGGGCATCGGGTAGTGCGACTCGTAGTCAAGGAACGACTTTTGCAATTTCTGTGAGAGCGATGGCCCTCCGACCCTTTTGTATGAATTCTTTATAGAGAACGAATTCAAACCGTAGACCTGGTTCAACTCCCTTACCTCGGCCTCTTGTTCCGGAGTGAGCAAACCAGATGGATATTTGCTTGGGTCACACCGATCGTCTATGCAGATAATAGGCTCACCGGCCCAGGGCGCAAGGGAGCGAACGATGTGCTCCTCAATACACAAGAGCCCAACTGCCCAGAAATATCGACTGCTGAGACTGAAGTGCAGCACATCCATCACGTCATCTAAAAAGGCGAATATTCTGCAATGGATTTCAGACGGCATGTTTGATAGTGATCTGACGCGAGAGAAATCTCCTAGGTGAAGAACTTCATGCATATCGTGATGATCGATTCGGGCGGCTTTGCTGGAATGATTTTGTGGTAGTGCGCTTTTTCGCGACCGTTTTGTGCAAGCCAGGTCGCCTTCTTCATCTTCAACATTTTCACCGGGAAGAACATCTAGGCCCTCGTGACTAATTCGTATAATCAGTGAGACTCGGATGAATTGACCAGATTATGCGGATCACTAACCTATGCACACTCACGGGCAATGCTAACAATGGCACGAGCCCGGTCGCACTGCCGGATACTAAACCCTCGATAAGTTGACCGATGCATCCCGTCATCTCCCTGCGACCAGGTGCAATTACTCGCCAATTTTGACTCATATTCTTTGGGGTTTGATCTGAAAATGGTGGACGGCCATATTGATAATTTTGGCAACGAGGAAGTATTCGGCTGATGTCAAAGTCGCCGGGGTCCACGGTGGTCACGTCAAGTATACGTATTCACTGGTCACTAAAACTGTGCTCAAAATGTACTTGAATCCCTCGTCTTGGCAAGTTTTAGGGCAATGGAATATATTCTTTATAGATTGATCAAATGCTAAATGAGAGCCCGCCATTGGCAGAAATAATGCTCCCAGTACACCAGCCAAATTCGGGATTGCAAATAGTCGCAATGAGACCAGCAATCTCACTGGTATACGCTGGCCGTCCTCCGAACCTAGCACCATGCTCCACGATCTCTGGTATGTCAAGATCCTCCCGCGCAGGGCCAGGGGTGTAAGAGGATTCCATCGCGCAATATTCTCCTTGATATCATCCGGCGCGACTAAATATTGCCCAGTAGCTACAGCTCCCGGGTTGACCGAGTTCACGGTCGCATTTTCTGCAAGCTCGCGAGCCCACACACGAGTCATAGCTTCAATCGCGCCCTTGTTCTAGAGTAAAGTGTTGTATGTTCTGTGCCCACTTTCGAATTGATGCTGGAAACAAGTATTATGCGTCCCGTGCGATCGCCAGAGTGTCATTTCAATCGCAATGGCAACGAGCAAGGGCGCTACTTCTGTTTTTCTTATGCGAATCTTGGTGAAGAAGTGGCATAAAATATTCCTTTGGTTCTGGACAATCAGCATCTTGTTGCTCGGCGTCCTTGGGTGCATTGCTGTGATGGCACAATGTACCCCCATTGAATCACTTTGGGATTCCAAGGTACCACAAGAAAGTTGCTCTATAGATTTGGTGACTCTTTCATACGCGATATGCAGTATGTTCCCAAATGCTCTTCCCCTTAACAAAGAGCTTTCTCACCGATGCCAAATCATAGGTTGGTCCGCCGTCATGGATTTTGTTCTTGCCATTTCCCCATGGTTTGCCCTTTGGGGATTGAACATGAAGTTCAAAGAAAAAGTCAACATCTGTCTATCGCTGAGTCTGGGAATTATGTCGGTCATCCCTCTGACGACCTTCCGCTCAATCTTCACGGGCTCCGGGCTGTTTTATCTTCCTATACTAACTTCAAACTAGTGCCTGTATTTGTGGAACAACGGGTCTTGATGCTCAAGCTGTCTCAGACGACTATCTTTGTAAGTCGATGTTCCTCTCTGCCTCCTTGCCAAGCATTTCCAGTGTTCTAATAGAAGTACAGATGCCGTGACTGAATCTTGTATCTGGACCAACTCCGAAATTACCCTCACGATCATCTGTGTCAGCATACCTCCCCTACGCCCCTTATACCGATCCATACGCGGCGACAATTCCTCAAATGACGCCTCGCAATACAACCATATCAGCCCATATTCCGCTCAGAAACTCAGTGCAGAAAAGAGCCAGCGCCCTGACTATGCGCTGGAGTCGTTGACGACCACCACTGTGCATGGAAAGACGAATGGCAACGACAGATTCACAGGGCCATCGTCAGGAATTGAGGGCCTTGACACGCGTCATATCTTAAAAGATCAGATATACGAAACAAATGCCATTCATCAGACCACGGAGGTGGATCTGTCTTATGAAGATAGAAAGGGAAACGACGTCGTGGCTGTACCTGTCAAAGCAAGACAGCATATTTGATACCAGTTCAATATAACTTGAGACCTAGACATGGAGCCAGGCAAAATACTAGAGAATAGCACATTGGCGCGTTAAAACCCTAATTTTAGCGCTAATCCCTTTCCTCAATTTTCTTTTGGTAGCCACTGATGATATAGTACTACCCCCCCCCAATTCTGAAGCCAGAGGTTATCCTACTAGTATTTACGAATGCGACTCCACGTCCTCTACTAAACACTGGAATTGAGGCGTTAGTGCCACGGGTGTTCAGCAAAGTCTCCATCGCTACATATTGCAGATTACTAGTTCTTAATCAGGCTTTGGGTCTCGGGGATCAATTTCCAAGGTCGAACCCTAGTTCATACCGCTCTGGATAGCCTCTTGTCACAACAGAAGCCACAAGACCAACTTTTGCTTCTCCTTCCGCCCGTACATTTGTTTCAAGTCTTGGCCAGCCCCCGGAAATATATGAACGAGTTGAAAATGAGATCAACTACCTCCGAGTGGCGGTAAAAATACCCGCTGTAACATCTGCCACAGACATAAAACCATCAAACCGGTGATATATGGAAAATGGCTAGGAGAGAGACATAGAGTGAGAGAGTGTGTGCGTATGAGTGAGGTAAGAACGGAAAGATGATATGACATTTACGCATGTCCACCTGAGTAACCTTATCTTCGGGGCAGTGGCAGATCTGAGAAACAATTCAAATAACCCTTGATCTATATACTGCTTCCACCCCACAACCCATCCAGTCCCGATCTAGTGCATGTGTACTTAGCACTTGCTGCCATTGCTGCAAGACTGGTCACACTTGTAAGTTCCAATCCAGTTATCATCTCCATATACATCCAGCCCCAACAACCATCCATTAAGTACTTGGTGAAGATAATCCAGGTTTTGGGGCACGCCATTTGACTGTCCCTCGGAGGAGCAGGGATAATCCTCTGTGAGTCCCTTGTTGTCGTTCAGTCCATTACCAGCCACAAACCATCCGTTATACGCGCCAAAAGCCTGGATCGCATTTCCGCCATTCGATTTGATCTGATCCTGAAGATAGTTTGTGCCGGCATCGACGTTGTCCTGAATCGAGTCGGTGCACTCGCCGTTGGGATAGTTGGCACAAGAGACCTGCATCAATCCGGGGTTGGCCCACCGGCATCAGCATTGCAGGAGGATTCCTGCATTGCGATAACGGCTAGAATGACGGGATCGACGTTGTACTTTGAACCGGCGCTTTGGAAGTACTGGTCGTACTGCTTGCAGGAAGATCCGATACCGCCGTAGAAAGTATCTAGCGAGATGTGGTAGATGTCTTCGAGTGCAAGGAACGGCGGCTTCCAACCGCCGTCGGTAATACCGGTATTTAGCCAATCTTCGGATCTATGAAGACGGTTAACAAGCTTGAGCAACCGTGAGGTATTTTGAAGAATATCTTCAAGAATATTTCATACCCATTGGGTCCAGTATTCGAAGTGACTTCGTCGGTTGCACCGTCGGCCTTAGGGTTTGAACCAACGCCAGGGTTTGCAGACTGGGCATTTGCCAGCGCAGCGGCCAATGCGACGAGAGTAGCTGTCTTAAAAATAGTCATGGTATATATTATAACTTGCAGAGATGCAGGATCTTGGAGTCCAATGAAATGATGTCGTAACCTTGGAATGATAATATATTGTAAGACTTTAAGAGGAAATTCTTGAATTATATACCACTCGGGGCAAGTTGGTCCTTCAATTGCCACTCATCAGCCACGTCGCATGTTCTTCTATTTCAAAAGCAAAATCTGAAGCAGCGAGAGAGAGCTGAAACAAGTTACTGCACTATTTCTATCGTAGGCAGTTTCTATAAAGGGTAAGCTGAGGGCAATGCTCACTCATGTGGCTGATGGTCTGCGAGATACCAGTTTCCAAAAAGAGACATTGATAGATTCTATGCAGAACAGGATAATCTAATCACTTCACTCAGGGTCCAGAAATTGGGGTCCAATTTCTCTATATCGCAATGATTGTCGCATAAACGTCTGCTAATTTGGAGCTTGCAACCTTGCAAGCTGTTCTTATTGGAGGGATGACACATGGGGCTGTGCGGGATCATTACCCCGTGGGTCCTGAGTCCAATCAAGGCACGCAGAGGAACATTGTGAAACAGGGGTAAAATCTAACTCGAAAAGCGCCCGTCGGCAGGCTCGTTGATTAATGTTAGCTTGAATTGCTGTGCAACTAAACTACCACATACGTGCGTATGTCTCTCTGCGGCACCTACTTATACCGCGAACCAGTCTAAACTGGAGCTCCAGCAGACCCAGCAAAACGTTTGACTCATTCGAAGGTGACTGTAATCTACCGTACGTAGTAGAGGGGTAGAAAGATCTAGTATGATCCATTATCTATGGTACAATCTATGCTAAGGAGGGGACGCAGATCAGGTGATTTGCTCCTCGAGTAGTCGTCATTTCGAAGAACTCGTCGTCTTCAACAAGAAACCGAGGTCTAGAACGGGAAGGTCAGGGTATGAAAGGAGACAGAAGTGCAGAACCTTTCGAAACAGAATGACAAGGTACAGAGGGGGGTGAGCATCTCGAAGCACCCGTCGGCCTCGACAGACTCGTGAACTAGTCATCTGCAACATCCCCTGTAAGTGACGGAGGGACCACCGTACTAGCACCAGTCATATCTCATTCAAAAAGGCAACATTCCAGGTCCAATGTTTTAGCACACGACCCATGTTCTCCTTTAAATTTAGCTTGGCGAAGTTCGTTGCGCTGTTATCAGGGATCGTGTACAGCGGCCTGGGAGATATCCTTGGCAGGCTGACCACAATATCTTTTGTAGGATTCGTGATCATCGTAGAGAATCCTAGGATAGCATCAATATTGCTGTCTCCTGTCAGTTAGTATGGCCTTGCTAGACGCTTATGGGCAAACACACATCTCTCTTTTCTGGGCCAACGTATGGGTGAAGAACGCGACAATTCTCCATACTGGCACCACTTGCCATTCAATGCCCCCATGTGCTCAACAAAATTACCAACCCCAGGGGTATATTGAGGTGTATCACCACTTCAAATATAATATAGTGATTGTGTCTTATATTATAATACTCAAGGTAGCATACCCATAACAAAAAACGGTTTCTATACCAAAAACACTGGGCGATGGCCCAGGTTGGTACCCTGGTTCTTCCTGAAATCCAAGTGGTATTCATGCTGTAGACTTTGCTTGAAAGAATGGTCCTTACCAAGGTTTAAAGGAGATGTCTGCCATCGGTTGCAGCTCGACCATTCATAAAGAAAATATCCTGTAACACGATGGCAAATTTCACCCTGAAAAGTCTCAATTAGCTCATAACCAACAATATTGATAGCCAGCTGGCTTATATCTTCCAATCTGAGCAGGCATCCAAGCTGGACAGGAGCGAGAGGTTCATAGATCACCGCAACCAATTATGCATGAATATGGAGGAAAGATCAGTGGTCATATCAATGGGGGTCGCCACTTCAGTGTCAGAAATGAAATCTGGACAAACTATGAAGAAGCGAAAGGTACCAGAGAGAACTTTTGACGCGAGGAGGTAAGGCAACAGCAAAAGGTGGTTGGAGACTGATAGGGCTGGCCGCCGGTTTTCGATGCATCAAATCCAACGGATCTCGCTGAGCCGGCGGCTCTCATTGGATCTCTCATGTGCATCACGCGTATGTAGGGTGTGTGCGTTTCTAATCTCGTATGACAAACATGCCTCTTCGGAGCTAAGCCACCAATTGATCAAGGGGCTAGGACCTCACAACGGCTTCTTGCCTTTCCCTTAACCAAATGCATGGTTCATTGGTAGAAGATAGCACCATCGAAACTTTTTTTTCAATGTGGAAAGGGGCTAGTCCGGTCCAAGCATGTATTAGGAGAATATTCCCAAAAATAGTGAAAGAACTAACCTCAATGAGAGCGCTTTAGTCCTGGTTCTTCGATAGCCGGATTCCGAGTCGCTGAATTAGGTTTTTTGTACTCCGTAGGGCATAGTGATGCCTCTAGCACACAAATCCACGATATCCATCTCGATCCGAGCAGATCATAGACGGAATAGATCACATTTCGGATATCGAGCGACAGGCTACTCCGTCTTCCGTCCCACGGAGGGGCATCCACAAATAAAAGATAGAAATGGATTACTTGTGTGGACCAATCTGAGACTTTTGACAAAGAACCCCCCCATAACTGATGGGGTCCGCTTTCTCGATATTCTCAGGGTCTTGACCATTTGTCGAAGCTGACCCACGGGCACGGGATGGAATGGAGTTGATAATTGAGAGGCGGGCCACACCGTGCTGGTCGTGTTGCGACCGTATTGTAGAAAGTTCTCCGAGTGGGATCCATATCCATCCCCGCTTATTGCTGACTGGGAAGTGCCAATGTGGGCCACGGCAGGATCGAAATGACAGTGGAGTTCATATCTTCAGGCACGGTGTTCCCCCCTGAAAAGCCGAGGTCCACACGTTCGCAGGGTCTATTTTGGTGGCTTGCACCATCGCCAGCCCAGGGCATAGTTTGTTTTTAAATTTGATGTATCTACAATCATGCACCAGCTCTTGCAGATGTGATCTGGTACCGGACTGCAGCTCTTGGCCTCATTTTCATGGATTGAGGAAAGGGGTAGGCGAGAGTTGGGGGGCGAGAGCTGGGGGCCAGGCTGTGGTCCATGTGTGCCGCATGGCTAATTTGATTCTTCTCTGCATTTGCTGCATATGACAGTGGCCCCGGATTTTCCTGCTTACATTTCCTCAAGCTCAGGCCGACCGCCACCGAATGCAAGGAACCACCAAGGCGAAAAGGACGAGGCTTCTCGGGAGGCGTAATAAGCGGTCTGCTTGGTACCCCTGTCGCGTCTGGGCGCGAACCGCGGGGCTCACAACCTGAGCTATCGGACGTGGGAACCACGGAGTATTGATTTGTATGTAGTACTCCGTACTGGTGGTACATCGAGGAAGTACCAGTTTTGGGACGGGCGGAGTACAGAGTATTTGAGAGGCATTTTATCGGCCCCAGTCAATATACCTCGAAGCCATTGCCTGTAACTTTGTGTCATCAAGCCGGTTAGCACAACCCCTGAACAAGGCAGCGCCGTCACGAGCGCAAAAACAAGAGATGATGGGGCAGTGAACCACACTAGCAGGCCGAGGACTGTGGTCTGCGAGTGGGATCAATCACAGAATGCGCTACCAAAGCTAGTGGCTCGGGGGTGGGGCGTGCATTGCATATAGAGTTTTATTATCCAAGCTAGTTCGAAGAGACGCAGCCGAACTTGTCAACAAAGGTGATGAGTAACAGGGGCACGCCAATCAGAAAGCTCTAGTTGGGCGAATGGACCGGCCTCGTCGTATACCGGTACCCTTTCTTGCCTGCTTGGCAGTCTTCTTTCCATGAGGATCGACATCGACTCCCCTTTTCCGACAGTGCAAGCGTGGAGGTCCGGACGCTTTGGCAATACTTCCTCGACCTACATTATCTGACGAATTTCCCTTTCTTCTCTCTCTGCAACTGCTTCGTTCCTTTAGGCCTTGTCCCACTGTCACTCTTTTTTGCTGTTCTCAGCGTCCATTCTTTTCTAACAAGATATCAATCACGTCTTTCAATTCTTTACGCAAATCTACGTTCTTTTCGACAAGATGAAGCAGACTATTATCCCTTCCCTCGTGGCCCTGGCTGCCTCCTGCTCCGTGAGTAGAAACATGTCCCATTGATCTGCAATATAATGCATGAATAGCTAATCAATTGGTTTGGTTTACAGGGCGTTATGGCCACTGATGAGCTCATCAGCGTCCCCGTTGGTCTCTGCGCCGCTATCCTCGGTGATGCCGAGTGCAAGCAGACCTCCAGCTCTAACGGACTGATCAATGTCCCCGTTAACGGCTGCGTTGCTGCTCTTGGTAAGGCCAAGTGTGACCAGGCCTCGACCTCCAGCGGCGAGGGCTCTCTGATCAACGTCCCTATCAATGTCTGCCTGGCTGTTCTCGGCGAGGCTCACTGCCAGCAGAGCTCCAACGACAACGGTGGTCTGATCAACATCCCCATCAACCTGTGCCTTGCTGTTCTCGGCGAGGTTGACTGCAAGGATGGATCCAGCACCTCCGCTGCCACCACCACCCCCTGTGACACCGAGACCAGTGAGATCGTGCACTCCACCGTCATCCCCGGTGCCTCTACCACTCAGGCCTCCGTCCCTGCCACTACTACTCCCTGTGACACCGAGACCAGCGAGGTTGTCCACTCCACTGTGATCCCCGGTGCCTCTGGCACTGGCTCTTCTCCTGTTGCTCCTACCACCACCCCCTGTGACACCGAGACCAGCGCCATCGTCAGCTCCACCGTCATCCCCGGTGCCACTGGCTCTGGTCCTTCCGGCCCTGCTGGCCCTGCTCCCACTGGCCCTGCTTCCTCTGGCTACCCCGGATCTCCCTCTGGTGTCTCCCCTGGTCACTCTTCCGCCTCCGGCTCTAAGCCCGCCGTCACTGTGACCTCTACCCGTTACCAGACTGTCTGCCCCCTCTCCGCTGGCCCCAGCGGCTGGTCCAAGACCAGCTCCCTGCGCCGTGTGACCCCCACTG